TTTTAGTCTCCAGTTCCCTAATCATCCTGGTTGCTCTTTTCTGTACTTTTTCTAGAGTCTCAACATCCTTCTTATAGTGTGATGACCAAAACTGGATGCAGTACTCTAGGTGTGGTCTTACTAAGGCTTTATAGAGTGGTATTAGTACCTCACTTGATGATAGATAAATGATAGATGGTTATATAGATTGATAGGTGATAGTTTGATTTTACTTGCTTTTAACATGAAACCATTCTAAAACTTCTATACAGGTCTTCATTAAAAGTTCTGAATTATACTCATATTTAATCATTTAAATATGAGCCAGCAGTGTGCTGCAGCTGCCAAAAATACCAACACAGTTCTAGGCTGCATAAACAGAGGGATTCAAGATCACACGAAGTGTTAATACCACTTTATAACGCCTTGGCAAGGCCACACTTGGAATCCTGTATTCAGTTTTGGTTGCCACGATGTAAGAAAGATGTTGAGACTCTGGAAAGAGTACAGAGAAGAGCAACAAAGATGAGGCTAAAACATAAAAAAACTGTTGCTGGAATTGTCTTGTTTAATGAAAAGAAGAACAAGGGGAGACATGACAGCAGTGTTCCGATATCTCAAGGATTGCCACAAAGAAGAGGGAGTCAAACTATTCTCCAAAGCACCTGAGGGCAGGACAAGAAGCAATGGGTGGAAACTAATTAAGGAGAGAAGCAATCTGGAACTAAGAAGAAATTTTCTGACAGTTAGAACAATTAATCAGTGGAACAACTTGCCTCCAGAAGTTGTGAATGCTCCAACACTGGAAGTTTTAAAAAAGAGATTGGACAAGCATTTATCTGAAATGGCATAGGATTTCCTGCCTAAGCAGGGGTTGGACTAGGAGACCTCCAAGGTCCATTCCAATTCTGTTATTCTATACTTAAGCAGTAGTAGAACGAGACTTTTTATGTATTTATTTAGTTGAACTTGTATGTTGCCTCAATTAGGATTAAAGGAAAAAAATGAAAAACAAAAGATGAAACTCACAAATGATGATGATGTTCATGTGAAAAAGAAGAACACATCAGAGAGGAACACAACAAAGACTCCAATATGTAGGTAAAAAAAAGAAGTCTAATATTAAGGAACAGATCATAACTACTGTATCCCAGGCTCTGTTGGAAGAGCCAGGTTTTGTGAAAAGCATGATATGGTGAACTCCACATAACTTAGGGCAATGTTGTTCTGTGGGGCAGGTGCAACCATATTAGAATTTTTATGATATATCATTGATTAAAAAGGGAAGTTAAATCTGAGGATAATCATAGTTGAATACTAAAGTAGGTCTATATTTACCAATATCCATGTAGCTGAAAATTAGTTTGTTTGAGCTATATCCACACAATGACCTATAGGTTCATCCAGATAGCTTCCAGCTTTGATTGTTTAATATTTCATAATAGATCAGGTTTGCATTTTTGTAGAACAATTTAGGCAGTATAATAGTATATAGCTAAATCTGAAAATAGCAATTCAATTTATCAGAATTCAATTTAGAGACGGAGATTAATTATTTTTTTGAAACTGTTGAAATTTCAAATACAGTTCTGATGGTACTGTATATATTTTTAGGAATACTGGTAATGAAAAATAACTGTCAAGAATTACCCAAAGAGAGAGATGGACCAACTGAAAGGATCAAGAGCATGCAAATCATTATATTGAAAGTCTACGTTTCTCTTAAATTCATAATATAATAATTTATGTTTTAAATATAGTATTATAACTTTGGTGCAGATTCATTTTCTATTTACTGCATCGTAGCACCTGCATTGTAGCACCTGTAACTGATACTGCTTTACTCTTTGGTAATCTACTAAGTTCTGTCATGTGATGTAAGAGAATGGTGGCATACACAGTTAATCTAGATAAATATTGAAAAGAGGGGACTAAATTCTCTTAGATTAAAAATTTATACAGTTTTTTCTCAGTTTATGTTTTAGTTATTCTCCTGCAAAAACCTCATGTAACATAAATCCATAAAATGATTCAGAAAAGGTGTTTTAGAATTCATAAGAGTGTTAACGCACCATCTCTCTAAAGTAGTCACATTTTTTCTTTGTGAGCTTTTAAAATAACTATTAAAAAAATTTTTTTTTTAAAGTGTTGCTAAAATTTATCTATTTTCTGGGCTTTCTTTGAAGTCTGAGAAAAGATAACAGTGAATCTGGATATGTAGACAATATTCCATTTCATCATAAACCAGCGTTCTCAGGTGGAAATTCAAGGACATCACTGCTCATGGAAGTTTTATTTGTTGGTCACTGAAATTATGGAATGTAATACTTCTAATGTTGTGTTTGTCTCCAGGTCCCCTCTTTTGGTTGTAGGAAAAAGAGTTAAGATCCATTTATAACGTGTCCTTTAAAAATAGTGTTATTGTTGGCTCTTATATATCTATAGTTTTATTTTTTTAATTATTTTTCTTATTTTGATCTGTTGTACACTTTCTTGATATTCCTGTAGAGATAAAATAAAAATAATATTTTTAATAAGCACAATAAATACATGAGCTGGTGGGAACAATAAGACATTCATCAAAGCTTTGCAACTAGGATTCAGTGTTTTTAAAAATTGGTTATCTGCCTATCTATTGGTTTTTAATTTGAATATCTTAGCTATAGCAGCCTGATTAAAAACTTAGAATATACTAGTTAGCATATTCAAACGTAATAAACAAATAATAATAAATAGTAACTAGGTTGTGCTAGTTCCTTAATGTATTTACTGAGTGAACAGTTATTTGAGATGTAATATGAGTCATAGCTTTGCTGCTTCAAGTTAGATAATTCAAATCTAAGTTATATTTTTAATAAAATGAATTTTATTATTTATTGATAAATAATATTTTATCAATACTTTTATGTAATACTTTTATATAATATTATTTAGATGGTAATATTATTTAATGGAAGTACTTTGAATGAAATTTTAGTAAACATAATTTTAATTATATTAACATACTAATTCCAAAATGTAGTTTAACATAACTTTTGCAAGTATTATGTTTTGCCTCTGAACAGTAAAGTGTTATTGGTACTTAGATGAATGACATCAAGATAATTCCAGAACTGTAGATTGTAGATATGGTTAGACTTAATAGCAAGATGGTGCACAAGCATAAGATGGCTGAACTGACACTCTGGACATGGTATACAATCTGAGATAAGCTGAGATAATTCTAGCATTCTAATCTCTCCAGAACAATTGATGGGACTCTAAAATCCTTAAGGACAAACAAGAGTTCTTAAATGATGAATAGAATAGAATAACAGAGAATAACAGAATTGAAAGGGACCTTGGAGGGACCTTCCACTTCAGACTAATGGTAATCCAATATCTTCTTAAAAATAGGTTTTCACTGGTATTTGTATGTGAATCTTTGGTTATTTGGGTTTTCTCCTGCGTGAAATTGGAAGTGCCTTGGCAACATTTTGACTAATAATCAGAGAAGCCATAGAGATAGAAAAACGCCCACACAGCATGAATAAAAGAGATGACACCTCCCGCTTACCAGCCATTTGGAAACCCGCCCTCATGAACAGACGAGTACCTAACATGATGAATGACACCAGACCCACACCCACGAGGGCCACACAAGATGCTACCATCACACCTCCACGCAGAAAGCAGATTCACACCCACACAGATGATGAGACATGACCATGGACCAGAAGCCGTACCGCAGCTGCATCACTACCCACTTCAAACCCCTCCGACCCATACATGAAGCGAACTGATGCCCACCATGAAGATGTGGCACGACCACGAACTCGAAGCCAAACAATAAGATCACAGCTCACCAGCTCAAATCCCCCGGCAACTAAGACTAACCTGAGCACAACCAAGCCCCCACCTGAACAGAACACACCCCCAGCCAATCAGAACACAGCCAACCCCCAACCAATCAGAACACAGCCAAACCCCCAACCAATGAGAGCACACCCCCACCCAATCAGAACACAGCCAAGCCCCCACCCAATCAAGTCACACCCCCACTAGCAGTTAAAAGGAAGAAGCAGCTGCAAGCTCACATTACTCTGAGAAGCACAAAGCCGAAGACAAGCCTGAAGATGACGAATGAGACTTCCTTGAAACGTCACCAAGATACTTCCAATTTTACATGGGAGAAAACCCGAATAACCAAAGATCGATTGATCTATCTATCTATCTATCTATCTATCTATCTATCTATCTATCTATCTATCTATCTATATTTCTTAAGTTTTCGTGGGTACTTACAGGTATGGTATTCAGCTTTGTTCAGGTGTTTTCTCACATCATTATAGTTGTGCTTTTAAAGTTGTAGCAATGTTTCAGCAGAATCTCATCTGCCATCATCAGGCTTCTGTATTGTGTTCGTCTGTGAACACAATACAGAAGCCTGATGATGGCAGATGAGATTCTGCCGAA